ACGACCGGGACACCATCAAAACATGACCGGGACACCATCACAACATGGCCGGGACACCATCACATGACCGGGACACCATCAAAACATGACCGGGACACCATCACAACATGACCGGGACACCATCAAAACATGACCGGCCATCAAAACAGGACCAGGACACCATCACAACATGACTGGGTCACAATCAAAACATGATCGGGACACCATCAAAACATGACCGGGACACCAGCATCACATGACAGGGACGCCATCAAAACATGACCGGGACACCATCCGCCCACCAGCTCTGACGGTGACCCGACGGCGCCCGTCCGCCTATTAGTTTTGCAAGACCCCATAGCATGGCTATTGGGGAACTAGCATGCAATGGTATACCTGCAAACAAACAGAAGAGTGTTGCAAAGTTGTGAAGCAAGGCCATTAATAGCCGACATGGCACGAAGCAGCACACCACCCTTGCAGTCTCACACCACTCCACACATGAAGTGCGTACCCCTTTCCGTTGCTGTGAAGACTATATGATAGCAGGCATGATGTGGCACGCATACAAATATGCGTAGGAAATGTGACACAACAGTATTGCCATTCTCAAAGACGATCTGGCAAAGGGAAAGCATGCCCGAGCACAACAATGTTGCCTGTCCCAAACACAGCCTGCCAAATTCATTACACCAACAGCACCTGCACCCACACAATTCCAAGGACGCCAAAAGCAGCGACTGCGCCGACAGCACCTGTCTCCAAAGCTACACCTATCTGGGGAACAACGTGATTCTTCCTTTCAAAGCTTGGAAGATATGAGAAGGACTGTGCAGTGAAACTCCGTCAGAAAGGAGGATGTCCTTCCAAAATAATGTTCTAATCATGAAGCTTTCTTCGAATCACATCTGTACAATTCTCGATTGCGCCTGCGCTCGACTCAGCCGGTCCTGTTCCACATCCTCAGGCTGGTAAAAGCGTCCTTGCTCCTAGTAGCGATGCCAGGAGCCCCTCGTAGCGTCCTTGCTCCTAGTAAGATTAGGCCCCTTTACCTTCTGTTTCTCCTATATATATATATTCTTCAAACCATTTCAAAGAGCCCATGACATCCACTGTCAAACCACACCTAGGGCCAGCGCGGTTTGACCGGCTTCAGCCTCAAAGCAGGCACTATAAAATTGTGTTCAAGGGTGCGATGCCAAAGCTTAATCTTGAGCACAAGAGTCGTGGGTCACTTCTTTTCATTACCAAACAACTTCAAATGACAGGGGAAACACTTGACCCTCTCTAGCAGCACCAAGCACAGCTAGCGAAATACTCGTGTTTTTCGTGCAAAATGCTCAGCGGCCTTCCAGGCACCCATCCAGTCGCCCCATGTTGCCTCACAGAAACACGCTGCGGGAAGAAAACAACTTTCAAATGCCGGTCGCATGGTCTGGCCCATGGATCTGAGCTTCCCGCATGCGCCATGGCCTGAGATGTGCGGAAAAAGAACCACAGGAAGACAACAAACCGCTTGGAAACTGTAAAGGGAACAGTAAATCTGTGATTCCTCTGCCCAGAGTGATGGGTTTTGACCCGTAGAAGTGTGCCTCTTGAAGAGCAGCAAAATGCTGCAATTTCGTTGAGTTGTGTGAAGCCAATCGTGTTGCGAATCTTCCCTTGTCAAACGGCGGCTGGGTTGACCGGCAGGCACAATCTTGCTTCTGAAGCAAGGGCACAAACACACAAAGATTTGATTCGTTTGCTGCTATTTTCATGCCTTGATTTATGTATACCTATGTCTGCTCTGTAGCCTCTTTAAGATTCGTTTCATGATCTACATTGCCCATGGACCAAGCTTAATTGTTTTTTCTTAGAGAATCGTTTGCATAGATATAGCGCCACATCTGAAGGCCAAACTGAGCAGCCCAGAGCAACACACTGCTAAAAAGATTGATGCATGCATGCCTGTGTCACGTGGGACTGGGTCTTTACCCCAAGGAAATTTCTGGAGCCTAGAAGAAGAGTTTCTGCTAACAATTCATCCGTCGTCTTGCAATTGGCACTATATACACGTTACTTCGGCACATGTCCTTTTTAATCTAAATTCAGCTTTGCCAACAAGACGGTGGCAAGCTGACTTCGTGTGCTAAGTGGCAGCGTTTCTAGCCACAGGATGGCCTACAAGGAGAGTTGCTGGTTGAAACCCAAACAAACGAATGAACCACATTTCTCACACCAACAGGAGACTTCACAACAGTGGTTTCCCTCCTTTCCATGCATCCATGCATTGAGGATGGCAATGCGAAACCCAAGCTACGACTGTTTTTGAGACGTGGAGAGGGAGCAAGAAGCCCAAGTCTCTTCCTCCAGGGCATGGGTGGTTGAAAACCAAATTAGTTGGCAGCTAACTAGCTACATTTAGGCAGTCGTACTGTAATTGTCAGGTGACATGTAGCATCTTTCAGCACACCCACGGCCGACTTCCATCTATTCAGAGAAGTCAACGAGTGCTCTGACCCTTCATTGGCTCAAGCTCCGAAAAAGCACGGCCTCATCTTGTTTTCCGCTGCTCCAATACAATCAGAACCGCACAAGCTTTACAAGTACCAGCTGCAAGAACAAAATAGAGCCCACGAACCCGAATGCAAACACGTTCGACAAGTAGCCGTTCGATTGAACTGTTTCACGACAAACTTTCCTGCTGAGATGATGCGTCACATGGGGGAATTTGCCGCCACATGTAGAGCATCCTTCATTCTGCCATGCGCGCAAAGACCCAGGCAGATCTGCGTCAAGAAAGAAGCATCTGCACTGTCCAAACGTCGCAGGGGGGGCCGGAAAATGATAACCGTCGACATAACACAGAGAAATCCACAACTGCGGCGTCTGGTCTTGTTGCAAGCAGGAATGTAGGACTGCGCGTCGCTGTATCTCGCCTGTGTCGAAAAGAAGCATGATCCAGATGTATATATACATACATGCACGATGGAAAGGAATGGTACTGCACATCATTCACTCATTCAAAGGAACGCTCGTGAACTTTACACGGCACACCAAAAAAGAGATACTACACATAACTCGACACATACTTTGTTTCTCACCCGGTCCTCGGATTGCAGACGTCTGGGCCGTCTGGGCCCAAGTATTTCCAGCGATGAGCGTCCGTTGCCGACCGCAAGTTTCCGGAAGGGTACTCACGTCACGCTGCAGAGTTAGCAAAGCTGCTGCGCCAGAACGCATTTTCTTGCTCCTCGTCACGGTCCTCTCGCCTTCATTGTAGCGCACGAGCATTGCACCATCCACCACCTCTGTTACCAGGACACCAATGGTGCCTTTAAAAAGCAAAAGGGGAATTGCGCAGCAGTTCGCTCATGAACCACTTGTCCCACCACGTCCAGGCAGTTTCACGTAACAGACACCCTGTTAAGCCCATATGCATCTGAAAACTCTACGCTGCCAAGCATGTACTCTATACAATCGTCCCTTCGGACAAACCGATTGCATCACAGATCCCAACCAAAAGTTAGAAGAACCAACTCCACACCAACTGCTACAAGTCTCCACGAGTCATACGACAAGTGTTTCGTACAGAGCTTCCTGCAAAATTCACACGACAAGTCTCCACAACGAACGCTTCGTACGAGACTTCCTCCAAAAGCCACGCGTCCAAGTCTCCAAAACGAGCATTCCTTTCCGGACTTCCTCCAAAAGCCACACGTCAAGTCTTCAAAACTAGCGTTGCGCGCAACATTCACACGTCAAGTCTCCACAACGGGCGTTTCGTTTGACCACCTCCAAAAGTCACACTTCCAGTCTGAAAAACGAGCATTTCGTGCGAGACGCCGTTTCGCCAAAATTAACACTTCAACTCTGCAAAACGAGCGCGTCATACAAGACTTCGGGGAAATCTCATCAAAGCAAACACGTTCTGCAGCCCAAGCAGTTTCGTAATCCCCAAAACCACAACCGCTGACACCAATCCTGCGGTAGTCACCTCCACCAAACATGGCAACCTCATGATCTCCTACGCCTCCAACGAAAATTCAACTTCGACACCTCCAACACAACACACACACCCAAAAAACAGAAGAAGAAAAACAACTGTGCCTGCCACGAAAAGTAACGATACGACACGTTCGATCATGTTCATGTCTTCTTCAGCAAACTTTGCACACGTTTGGAATGGCACACTCCCATCTTTTAGCTGACTTGTCACGAAACCACACCTTCTTGAAACGCAAATCCCAAAGTCACTGCCACATCCAACACCATCTAGGCGCCAATCCCAACAAAACACTGCGCCTGCGCAGCAAAATCATGCTCCGCGCTTCATCCCGTTACGTTTCCACACGTTTCCTCGCTGACGCGTCACGCTTCTCTCCAAAACCCTCTCCAAAAGCTCCGCCCAACGTCAGCGCCATAGCGCCCTACCGCGGGCGGTTGCGAACACACGGGCGGTGGCGGTCGCTACGACAACGAATCGCGAACAAGAGTCTACACCCCCAGACCCCCAGAGTTAAACGAGAACCCTTCGCGATGCATTCAGGAAAAATCTGGCCGCCGCCGCCAAATAATGAAAAGCACAGTGCGCTTTCTGATTTGGCTTCCGAGGAAGCCGCGCGGCGCCAAGCGCTCCGCCAATCTCTGTGTCAAGCAGCCTGGCAGGCAGAACCCTTCTTTCTCTCTCTCTCTCTCTCTCTCTCTCTCTCTCTCTCTCTCTTTCACTTCTTCTATTTACAACATACACGCTCACATATATATATATATATATACATATTCTTTTTCCGGAGCGTTGCGAAGGGCTCTTCTGTAGACATCCTTTGCGTTAACCCAGCTGCATCAATATAGACCTGCTGCTAGGGGGGTGGTATAAAACATCGGCGTCCATATAGACCTGCTGCCAGGGAGGCGCTTATACATCTGTTTGCAAAAACATTTGCAACTTAAACAGCTGCAGTTGGGTGTAAGCTACAATAGATACGCTAGAAGTTGCCTTGGCGCTGGGATCTTGCTTTGGTGAGTTGCTTTGGCGCTGGGATCTCGCTTGGGTGGATGGCTTATGCCCTGGGTTCTTGCTTGGATAACTTTCGCTAGCCGCTAGCATTCTGCTACTTGGCCGCTGGATCTGGCTTTGGTGAGTTGCTTTGGTGGTGGGATCTTGCTTGGGTAATTTTCGCTGGGATGTCGCTTGAGTAAAATCATACCCAAAGGGTCTTGCTTTTAAAAACCTGTGTTGGCAATCGCGGGCGACTTTCCTCTGAAGACATGAAGCCTGGAAGCCCTGAAACCCTGCTGACGCCCCGGACGCTGACGGCTGACGCTGCGACGCCTTGAAGCCTAGCGACGACCTGAAGCCTTGAAGACCTGAAGCCTGGTGACAACCTGAAGCCTGGACTGGACCTGAAGCCTTGAAGACCTCGACCTGGAGCCTTGAGGACCTGAAGCCTAGTGAAGACCTGAGGCCTTGAAGACCTGAAGCCTCTTCGTGTCTTCGTGTCTTCGCGCGTCTTCGTGTCTTCGCGCGTCTTCGGGCCTTCGTGTCTTCGCGTGTCTTCATGTCTTCGGGCCTTCGGGTCTTCGTGTCTTAGTGTCGTCGCGCGTCTTCGTGTCTTCGTGTCTTCGTATGTCTTCGCGTCTTCGCACAAAAGCCACAACCCGCTTTCGCCAACGCAATGAAAAGAACATATATGCACAAACAAGTATGACTTTCGCTGGGGTCTTGCTTCAGCAAACACAGACGCAAAAACAAACACATATGTTTGTTTGGGCGGCGCGCGCGTGATATATCTCGGCTACTTATCTCTTCTTTCTCAGCCGGGGGCCTGGCCAGACAGGGCTTGCGAAACGCGACCCTCTGCGGAGATCGCTTCAAAAGCGAATTTCCGGTTGCGCCGCGGCAAACCTCTGCGCAGATCGCGCGCGTCAAATGCTCAAACCAGATTGGATTGAGGAGGCGATCATGACTTCGTGGGGCTGGGGTAGATCCTATCAGACCACATCAGCCAAGCCTCCAAAACCCAAGTCTCCACAGCAATGGGGAAAACCAGCCCATACAGAGAAGGACTTTGCCGCCCACGCGTTGACACAACCAGGAATTTTCCAAGACCTCCTTGAAGAGATGAAGGGCGCTCAATCCAGGATTGAACGAGAGCAGCTGCCTTGAACCAGACCAGCTTAGGTACAGAGCCCTTCACCCCCATGATGTGGAACTGAACTGTTCCGGAAGCTGTAGTTGGCTTCATCGGCACACTTGGAGACATGGGAGTCAGTCTCACTGATGGAGATTCAGTCGGCGTTAAACAAGCCCACTGCAGCTTCCGAAAAAGAAACCCAGCACTGCTGAGGTCAAACAGTCGCGCGAGCAACACTTCTCAGCAGACGGCTGCTGTCGCGCGGCCACCTCACAACTCCAAGGTGATGTTGTTTTGAAAGACAGCATTCTCTCTTCTTCTGGCCCTGGCTCAAGGAGCGGCGCGGACCACCAGCACAGTCCAAATAGGGGCGGCTTTTTGGCTTCTTCGAGCTTGGGAGGTCGCATGCAGCCCTTCCCGCTCAGCGCGATGGAAATTGACTTGCCGGCGGAGGGGATTGACGCGTGGTGGAGACAGGGCGCCGGTGCTGGGCGTTGGGCGCCGGCGCCTGGCTGCGCGACAGGGCGCCGGCGCGCGCGTGGCGCGCGCGGTGGAGACTGGGCGCCGGTCGCTTGAGCGTTCTTTGTCTATTAGCGCTGTGGGGTATTGACATTCTTCAGGTTCTGTTTT